GAACTAAAGTATCGGTGCAGAGTATTAAGTACAGTGCACCAAAAATAAAAAAAAGAAAACACTGAATAACTTCTGATATAATGATCAGATTATCACATTCTAGGACTCAATGGTTTGAGGGGATGACTTCGAATATGCTAATTAATTAGTGAAAACCATATTTTAAGTTACGAAATGAGACACGAAAACATACTTNTTTACAAGGTAGTGATCCAAAGTTTGGACCCCTTAATGTTAATTTTACTTTTTGCGTATTTTGCCATATCTCGAGAATTTTGTAAGCTAATTGAAAAAATGTTGTACTCAATTATAAAATTCGTTTTGCCAAAGGTAATTCCACTTAAAAAATACATTTGAGTAAATATTTATTATTTTTTATTATTTTATATAATAATAATAGAAAAGTTTTGAATTTCAAGGCATACAATTTCTTACATTATTTTAAAGTATCTAACTTTAAATTGCAAAATACAAAACTTTATAGAGGTTTTCGAATAGTTATGAGAAATAGTTTCTGCGTCTTCTGTCAAAATTCGATTTCTCTCAAATTTTGTATTTTGCCATGCAAAATTGAGTACTTTAAAATGATGTAAAAAATTGCATACCTTGCAATTCAGCACTTTTTCCACTATTATTTAAATAATAATAAAAAATAACATTTACTGAATTTTATTTTTGGAGTAGAATTATCTTTTGGTAAACGAATTTTATAATTGAGCGCAATTTTTTTTCCTATTTGCTCAAAAAGTTTATTTTATTTTTTGCTTAAACTAAGCAAAAAGTGAAATTAATATTAAGAGGTTCAAACTTTGGATCACCCTCCTGGCCAAACTACGGGGACCCTATTTCCCAGATTGCGGCTTCCCCCTACATTTTGGGAGTCAGAAATCCTAATCCGTCGAAAAAAAGGTATGTACGGATTCACAGAAAGTACGGATTGTGTCTAATTTCGTAATTTAAAATTTCGTCTGCACTAATGAATTAGCATAATTAAGGTCCCATTGAACCGTTAAGATTGAGTCCTGAATATCCTATCATTAGATCGAAAGTTATTCAGGGTGCTCTGTTTTTTTGCTCACTGTACATCATATAATTGCTTAATTGACATTGGAGCTTGGATTTTCGTTAGGTAATGAGCATTGGAGAGTGTAGGACATAAATAGGGAATTTTTTATGTGTTGAAGGTAATGAAGGAAATAGTGTGGTGTTAACGCTGGAAATGGCTACCAGACTGACAGATTAGCTTTCTCGGCTATAATGTGTAAGCAGCTGCAAGAAATTAAGTGCCTTCATTAGGTGAGCTGAGTTAGTGCGATTATATTCCGGTTGTTTAACCGTATTAGATAAAAGCAGTTACGATGAAAGACAAAACTGTTTTTTTTCCACCGTTAACAGTTTGAACAATATCTTAGTTATGGTTATTTGACTGTTTTGTTCGAATATAGTAAGATAACAATTAAATAAATTGTTATTTAACCATTTTTCCCAAAATTTTTTAACAGCTTATTACTATGCTTGGAGCGTTTCAAAATTTAAAATTTATGCTTTTAAACAATTGTTTTTGGGTTACACACGTTCGAATTGCATACTCATAAGTAGGGGAGAGTGGGGTCATTTGTAACATTTTTTACTTAACTATTTTTAACTAACAAAAAATCCAATATATTATTAGTATTAATTGACAGACGAGTAAAGTAGACTATCCTCTACTTGAAAAAAAATAAATACCTAATTTTAAATGTTATTATATTAATTATTAACAATTTTTGACAGTCGAGCACTTGTTACAATTGTCCCCACTTACGGGGTCAATTGTAACAGTTCATGAATTCAACTAAAACATAGTTAATTATACGTATTATCATAGTTGTGATATATTTCTTTATTGATCAAAATAGTAGTGATATTTTAGGAGTAAAAATAATAATGAGCAGAGACCTTGATTAAATTGCTTTTAACTTTAAGGGGTTAAAAATTTTAATTTATGCTGTGAAAGGTGACAAATAAAATAATGCACATGCAACATAATATAAATGATATAGGAAACTATTGGTGGTTCTTAAAGAGTTAAGTAATGGTTTGTAAACATAAGATTATTTATTTTCAGCTGTTACAATCGTCCCTTTACTTATTGTTACAATTGTCCCCAAGACGCCATTTCAGCTTCATTTGTTAAAAACAATGCTAGTTAATTAGCAAAACTAATTTTTTTTTTATTGAAATGTTAATTAAGGTGTCCACTTACATATTCGGTTACTAATTTTTATTTGTTTAAACAAAATTACTTTGTTACAATATAATATTCTAATACCAAAAAAAGTACTTGCGTGGCGTGAAAATATCTTTTGTGATCTAACTCTTTCAAAAGTACATAAAAATGATTGCCATCAGGGGTGTACATGTAGATTTATTAAATACACCTTGTGCGCCACCTAGGAACCAAATCTAGAACCCGACACTCGAGATTTTTGCTCTGTTACAATCGTACCCTGTTACAATTGACCCCACTCTCCCCTACTTAATATTTCTGAAGGTTGAGCACGATTTAGGCAACTGGTATCCTAAATCGTACTACTTGCAGGCTTTTCGGAAACAATGAATTTCCCCTACTTACTGCACAAGTATTATTGTTATGTTATTAAAATATTTGAAATGTAATTAGTGAATTTTGACTGATAAAAATTTAAAAGTGGTACGGTTAGTACGATTTTAAAAGTACTGGATGAATGAATTGCAAGTTAGATGAATTATAAATTCATGTGTAAGTAAATAAGTGAGTCATGGAATGAAAGAATCATTAAATAGATGAATTAGTTATTAGGCGTATTAGTAAATGAGGGAATCATTGAATCAGGAGATCAAAGAATGCCCGAATCAACAAATACATAAAAAATTTATAAACCTATATTGTGTGGCAATCGATTTGGATTTTTTAACTTTATTATTTTTTTTAAATAAAAGAATGTAAAAGTTTTAAATTACCAAGTTCCATTACGGAATTTTCGAAAGTAATTAAGTCTACCTACACTTCGTACAAAGCAACAAAGATAAAGTAAGAAGGAAATGAAATAACTAATTTTAAATCTGCTTGCATAAAAAGAAGGAAAGAACAGTATAATACGAAAGCTAATCGATCTTTTTTTAAATAAATGAAAAAGGTTCTTTTTAAGGATAAAAAATAAAAATTAAAAACTATTCAATAGGCAAAAATGAAACGTATTCCTAATTAATATAAGTTTGCCATTAGAGTAAGAGGAAAGGTAAAGGGAATTCTCAGCTTTCCTTATTTCGTAACTCATAAATGCTTTCTAAAACCCTAATGAACTCATCAAAATAGAGTTAATTGGGAGAAAAGGAATTGAAATTGAACCTTTCTTTAAAGAGTAATGGAATCTGACTTTTAATTGTACGTATTCCATTTGACTCTCATTCATTATCTGTAGACGCGAAATTTGATAATCAATTTACAAAAGTATATAGATGACTCATTTTAAATTTATGACGGAAAACATGATATTGATTTATTTTAGGAATTATATATACTTTATTATAGAAATTATTGCGTTTGTCAAATTTTTTCTGTATTAGTGGCGCAGACTTTCTTTCAATGCAATGACAATAATTTAGTAGCAACACTCTGTAGTTAACAAGAGTTAAGATGTAATAAATTCATCGATAGAATTAGTACTTGTTATAGTGCGACTGCGTTGTTTACTTAAGTGGATTCTCAGAACTTATTAGCGCTTTAATTGACTGAATAATTTCGTCAGATGTTGTTAAAACATAGACTATAGTAGCTAACGAGTTCTGTTTGTGGAACCTACACAAGTTCTTTTTTTTTTTAAAAAAAAAACTGCTGTTTAAACTAAGTATTCGATATAATTTATTTACCGACATGTAATTTCCACAAATGTAAAAATAATATCAAAAGTATTCGTGTTTAATTAGTATCAAAAGAAGATCTTAATTGCTTAAATAATATTTTCGAAGGCTTCTAAACGAAATTTCACGTTTGCATATTTAATACAGATATTTTATTTTACACAAGGACAAACTTAAGTCTATTTTTTTAAAAAAATGTTTTTTTTTTAAACTGTTGATTTTCTGTAATGTTATATAATTTCAAAAGGTGAATGTTATTTTTTTCCCTACGTAATTGACCCTTTGTTCGATGCATTTTTCTAGACGTTGTGACAGTAGTATTATTTTGGATCTTATCATATGCCCTTTTTTGAGTATTTTCGAATAAATTTTTTTTTTAAACTTTTGTGTATATCACTCGATGAAAATGTTCGGCAACGAAACCGGCAAGCAAAACATAGGCGCAATCGTATTTTCCACTTAAATCAAAAATTGCTCGAAAATCCTCGTGTGATATAGAAATGGTCCAATCAGATCACTTGCTTTTTATGACGTTTCAATTTTATGTGATGACGTTTACAAACGTTAATAAAAATGGCGGCGACGTTATAGAGAGGATGATCGGATGAAATTTTGAATTAATACATTAAATTTATTAAGTTAAAATACAAAATTAAATGGATATTTATTCTAGAGCGTTTGTGATTTACTTTTCTTTCCTTTACAAACATCGTTGAGAAAATATGAGATATAGCATCACGTGAAAAGATATTATCCAAAAGTTAGGATAAGTAACAAAAAATGGTAATCCTATTACGAGCAACCGTTTGGGCAACTAAGCAACAGTATCGCCAACTGCGAAATTGCTTTTATAGAGTTGAGGTTACGTTTACTGTTGCTTATAGTTTTCTCTATCGTGATATCCGTATCAGAGAACACATCCACACTATAAGTTGTGTGACGATGTTCGGAAAAAAAATGAAAATAAAAGAATTTTTACGTGTATGAAACTAGTATTCAAATAAAATAGCGTTTCTGGGACACAAACATGTAGTCGTGGATATTGATACAAATAACGTGATTAAATAAATGCCGAAGCAAATTAGTTCACCCAGAAAAGCACGAGAAAGTATAAGTACCTGATGGTGTTTTGTCTGTTTTTCCATATGGCCCATTTCTGGCGATAATCTCGTGAAGAATAATGCCAAAAGAATAAGTATCTCCTTTCTGTGTACCTGACTGAGAGGCTTGAGGATCTCTTAATAGCTCAGGTGCTCGCCAAAGTAGCTCTAAAGGAATGGAAAGAAAAATTACTTTAGTAACAAGAATAGTAATTGGTATGTTCTTCTATACCAGTGGTTTCAATTTCTGTCGACTAAGGAACCCTATATGATCAAACTGTTTTACCCCGTAATTATAAAAAAGTTCATTAGCATTTGTTAATTTGCAAAAAAAAAGACTAATTTGAAAAATTAAATGTGAAGAATGATGTATTTTAAAATTTTGAATTTTCTCTTAGTGTATACTTATAATGCTAAAAATAACAAATAAGCTGATTTCGTTTATGATTTGTAAAAATAACTTATATAAGTTATCAGAAAAAATAAATCGTTATTCTTAAATTTAGGTATTTTATTTTGAATTGAAAAGTTCGTTGAGAAATGCCCAAATGGATATTTTTATAAATGCATATCCTTTTCATAATTTGATATGTTTTTCTTGAAAAAAAAATTGCTGTTAATTTATTTTTTTTATTTATTATTTTTTTAAAATTTTGTTACTTTTTTTCTGCGGCATTTACGTAAATAATTTCACATAAAAAACTGAAATATTAAATAAATTACTGATTATTGATCGAATATAATAATTACTAACTAATTACTGTTTTAAAAAATACAATTAATGTGTGATTAAAAAAAATCCTAACTCCCTGAACCTCTGTATATCTACCAGGGAACCCTTGGGTTCTGCGGAACATCTTTTGTGAACCAATTTCCTACACTACCCAGTTCTTATTATCTATAATAAATAAAATGAATTTGTTTGCTTGTGTGCATGTCTCTCTTATAACTCTAGGAAAGTTTGTTCTAACGTCTTCGAATTTGGACAGTGAGTAAAAGAAGCAATTTTATCCTCTCTATCTCCTGAACTTTGTTCAAAAATTTCAATTAAATCATTCAAGAAAGACATTTAAAAAATGGGATTTTCTTCATGCTTTAGAGCTAGCGCCATTGATATAAATGAACGTTTTTAAAGATAGCGTCAGTCATGCTTACTGATAGCTCTCATTGAACAAAAAATAAGTTTGCACGTTCTTAGATATTTAATAAATTTTTATTCGTTATCTCGGATAAGCTCAATCATAGTGAGCGTGGTAGCATAGGTGGACTACGTCATCAAATGAGTAATCTAAAATCCCCTGTTAATTTTTTTTTATAATTATGTTTTTAAAACATATTTCTATAAAATTAAATAATTTAAAACCAACAGTATTTGAAATTCAAAAAAAAAGAAGTTATGTACTGAAAAGTAGATGTAGTGGAAAAATAGTTTAATTCGCGTAGGGGAAAGTAAGAACTCGGCAAGCTAGTTTTGATGCCAATGCTGCTTGCAAGCGTTTTTAAAAAGTGTTTAAATGTGCTTCTTTTCGATTTTCGTTTTTAAAAGCCCTTAAAGGTGCTTTTTTCATTGGGTGTTCTTAAAGAGTGCTTAATTTTCCCTTTTCCAAAATTAGATTTTTTTTCTTTACCATGTCGAATTTCGCTACGAATTATGCAAAAACCTTGGTTTTCATTTTGTTCTATTTAACGTTTTCAAAATTCATTCCATTCCATTTCGGCAAACCGTCTGTCCGCCAATCATTTTTCATGTTTGATGAAATACTTTCTAGGCCGCATGTGCGTTTACTGAGATGGATTCAGTGGGAATAATTCTAGCACTCTAATGTGCAACTCTGCGGCATTTTGCAAGACATTCTCAATTTCAGGCTTCATTTTCTGCCCTCTGAAATCGAACTGAAATATCTCTCGAATTTTTTTCTGATCACGGGGACCAACATTGCGATTTTTTCTCCTATTAGCAAAAGAAAATTTATTTATCTTGTTAATTTCAACGGTAATCGATAATCCGGTATGATCAACAATATTAATCTTGTTAATGCTTTGTTGAATGCTTTGTTGTCTGATCACGGGGACCAACATTGCGATTTTTTCTCCTATTAGCAAAAGAAAATTTATCTTGTTAATTTAATCGGTAATCTATAATCCGGTATGATCAACAATATTAATCTTGTTAATGCTTTGTTGAATATGCTTTTAAAAATAACTTTTATTTAAATCTGAAAAATACACGCGATAACCTTTTTAAACAATAGTTAAACTAATTTGAAATTTGAAATTTTTTTTTATAATTAAGTAAATTAATTATTAATTTAAAAAATAGAATGAACCACTCAATATTGAATATATTAAAAAGTGTGCATATATTGTTTTTATTGTGCTAATATAATTAAGAAAAGAGTTCATTATCAGAAACTAGTTATTTTATCACGATAATGTGAAATCTTTGAAAATTATTTTGCATTTTGTTAATGTATTTATGAAGAAATGTCGAAAAAAGGTAGAAAATTTTTTTTTAGTGCGCATGTCCTAATTATAATATTTTTTTAAAGAGCTTAAAAATATATATTTTGAATGTTCAAAAAGTGCATATTTTTTGTTGAAAAACTTGACTACGCTCCCTGTGAAAGTAATAAAAAAAAATTTAGTAGAGTGCGGTGAAATTCGTATCTTATTTGAATTGTTTTAAGCAACGAGTAAAATTTCTTATTTATTTTTTCTTATTGCATCCCACAATTTGTATTCCTTAGATAAAATTTTTTCTAGTAGAGGTGATTATTTTTCAAATCTTAGTAATCGTTTACTTGGCATTAGAATTAACATATTAACAAAATATTCGTATATAAAGGTACGATATTTGTATATTTTGAAAACAAAATGTTCTATCTTTTTGTGGAAAATATTGATTTTTAAGTAAGAGAATCATGAATAAGAAAAAAATTTTGGGAGTGGGCGAGCAGTGAATCCTAGTTTTATAAAAATTCTTAAACAATGGTAACAATTTTATAGGAAAATGCGAGGGAATTTTTTAAAAATAAAAAAATGCCATCTAAAAAGTAATATTGAATGTAAATAACAATTGTATAAAAATCTTGACTTTCTGATAAGTAATTTTAAGAGTTGATATGATTTTAAATTTAGATATTAATGTCCATAATCAAGTTTAAATTTCTGAAACTATTTTAAAATGTGTTATAATTTTATTACAAAAGTCATCAGTTGTTACAAGACTTTCAAGCCAGGTATCAAATAATTAAACTAACTTAGAAACAGTTACTTAAGTGCTTATTTGGAGTCAATTTTCTTGTTCAATCATTGGAAACGCAAAATTATAATAATCAATTTATTAGTTATTAATTAAAAATATTGAATAAAATATTAATGATTAAATAGTTAACCCAAGGTATTTTACATGAATTAAAGTATCAGTTCAAATGAGCACGAACAGCCAGTATGAGAATAAGTGTGACCCTAGCGGCGTGCAATGACACTTACCATCAAGGGTTGCTTAGAAATACCCAGGAATTCTGTGACATCCTCTACAATGCAGTGAAACGGTGTAAATAAAGATGCTTAAAATTCCAGCTAAAAAAAAATCTTTGCACTGTAGTTGTATTGATCTAGTTGGGAGTTTTTTTTTGTCAACAACGAATATTATTAAAATTTTAAATTAAATAATATTTGTGACCGCATCTTAAAAAGACATTTTTTAAATTTTGTGTCGTAAAAACAAATAGAAGAGCAGTAATTACGATAGTAGCAGTACGAAGAGCAGCAATATGCGAACAACTTTTTTTCCAGATTTAAGCTCTTTAATAGTTAATTTTTAAATACTAAATAATATTAAAATTATGAAATATCAATAAATCATACTTACTTTAAAATAAATAAATATTTCTTATCTATTTATTATACACTAAAGCATTTAAACTTAACTTATTCTTATATCTCAATATTGTTAATATAATAGTTAATGCCAGTATAGTTAACAACTAACACTATTAGTTGCGCAAATAAACTTACTTTTTATTTGTGATACAGGTGAGAAAAATTAACTTTGGCAAACATTAAAAGGAGAAGTTATTCACGGAGCAAATTTGCTGAATGNGAAAGATCAAGGAAGAAAAGTGAAACGGATTTTATTCAAAATGGCAAAAGACGAAATTTTTTCCAAAACTCGCGCATTTGAAATTGATTAATAGAGTGCGCGAACTTCTTGCGTTTATCATTTTTTATTGCGAGAAAAGAAAAAAAATATGCGAGATTCTCGCGTTCTCGCTCTGTAGTGAAAACACAATTAATCATCAGTATAAGGCATACCGGGCAGTGGCACTGAACGTTGAAAAAGTATTGATGTAGTGCATACCGGGCAGTGGTACTTAACTAGACCTAGTACATATTTCGGACATTTACCAAATTGTTAACATTCAAAGATGGAAGTCAACAAATTTCGGTTATTGACAGTAACAGTATTACAAGAGCTGTGCGGTCGGTAATAGAAAAATTTTCGACTTTTCCGACTCCGATTCAATTAAAACCGAATCCCAGGAAATATTATAAAAACGATCCTGAATTTATTTTTGGACAAGAATAGCAGTTGACCATAAATGAACTAGAAATATTTTGCGGTGTGATGCGACGCATTTTAACAAAAACGAAGATGGGAAATCTGCTGAGCATGGGCTTCTGTTTGCCATAACGAGTCTCTGCTACATCCTGATAACGTTAATGGACGGTAGAGTTTTACTGCTGATTTCATTCTTGGATCCATTTTCTTCGAGAACACTCTTCGCATGGATAGTGTTTTCAATGTAAATGTAAGCAACAACAATCTCGATCTCTTGACCTGCTCTACTTCCGGTTAGAAAGTATACAGCTGCTTACTACGGCTTATTCTGCTAGGCGATATTTTCAAACCGTTCATTTCGTTTTTAAAAAAGAAATTAATCATATAATTTCTGATCTCAAATCAGCTGTAATTCATGAGATATTAATTATTATTAAGTAATTTAGGTGGGTTTGAAGAGAAAATTTGTTTTAGTTGTTTATCGATGTATTACTGAAAAGGATGAAATGGTTAGAAACAAGTCGCTTTTTTATCAATCCCGATTTGGCCTCTTTTTACTTGTTTATTACAGTTTGTTCTTGTTTGCAGGCCGTGCGCCATCATA